AGAGGACATGTACCTGTATATAAAAAACGCGCCCTATAGTCCGGTGCGCCTTATGTGTGTGTTAAATACAGAAATGGGACACATAACTGAGAGTGCGCCTTTTAGTACGGTGCGCCTTATGGTCGTGAAAATACGGTAATAAGAAAGAATCTCTATGAGGAGAGTTTTGTTCTTTCTAAACTTCTCCAGAATCTTTAATCTTGAATATTAAAATGTGTCTTGCAGAAATTTGAAGACTTTGAAGATTTCTATTTATTTGTGTCTTTTCCCCAAATATTCTTTAATAGATAATAGATAACATTTTAAACAATGATAGTGTGTCTATCACTGAATACATTACTACCGCCTCTAGCCCTTAGACAGCTGGAGATAGGAACCAACACCCCTCGTGACCCCACTCGGGATAAAGCTTGTCAGATAATGGATGGATGGGTGGATGGATGGATGGATGGATGGATGGATGGATAGTTAAAGGTGTTGTGACAACATTGCTGAAGAAATCAGTCTAATCAAAGGCCCTGAGTCACACACCAACCCCCCTGGTGTGGCTGAGACAATGGCCCCTCTCCAGAAAATTACTGGACCAAACCCCCAGATGTCACGCCTCTAAGACCAATCAACTGAAAGTAAAGCTGTGATGCAGCAAGATAACCTCCCCCATCATAGCATATATATATATATAGATAGATAGCATCAAGCTTTCAAGCTTTAAAAGCAAGAAGCGGAAGCTGCTCTTAAGCCACTGACTGCAGTGTATCACCGGGCCGACCCGCTGAGCTTGGGTGCACAGTGCAACAGTTGCATATTGTACTGTTCACAACAAATTCAGATGTTTCAGATTCATCTTAATCTACGATAAAATAACTATTATAGTTACAGTATATAAAGAAAATTTGTATACCACAAATAAATGCCTAGTGCAATACACATTAGTAAGGTACTAACTACTTAACTGTATCCATTCAGGTTTTCTGTGCAAGTACTAAATATATATTACTTATTAGATGTAAAATTTTAAAAATTACTACATTATAATTTGCTCTAGAGATGGTTAAATCATAAAAAGTGAATGTTACATAACCAACGAACCCAAATTATAAAGACATTAACACTGTTAAATATTATTGATGGCTATTATTGAAACTCATAACACTATCTCAATATTTACCATTATTATTGTGTTTATTACGTTTTTTCTAATATTGTGAAGCAAAAATAAAAATATTCTAGAAAAACATTCAAAAGTTTTTTTTAATCTTCCTGTCATTAAAGTAAAAGTCAGGTTAGCAAGGAATAATCAAAAGAATGATGAATGGATCATTATTTATACCTTAAACAAATCCGTCCGCTACATCTTATGTAGCCAACATTTTGCAGAAGAATGTTTTCAAGATGATTTAGATAATAGCATGTTGTGACAAACACCAGATACAGCTGCGGGACTTGTTTAAGAGCCGATATCACACCGTGACATCACAAACTGGAAGGTAGCAGTAGTGTTGTTTGTCAAACATGGCTGTCTCCAGTAAAGCACATTCAAATGAAAATTACTCTTAATTAAAGCACGTACCATTTATGTGCACAGTTTGCTTGAGTAAAATTTTCTCTTTTTGGTTGACCTCTTTTATGATTTGAACCCATGTACTTTTTGTAAGTTTCTTTTTTTTGGGTTAAAAATAAAAAACTAATTTTTGAATTAATCCTTATGACTCCTCATCCTTCTTTCCTCGATCCCTCACACAACCTTATTGTGTCCAAACATCAAAAGTTCTTTATTAAACCTACTACTTCTTATATAGAAAAAAAGAAAAACACAGAGATTGATGTTTTAAAGCTTTTATTCCTTTTAACTGTGATGATTTTTTTTGTGCATAGCAAAGGGAATTGTAGAACTTTAAGATTAGAATATCCTTCCAGACTAATAAAAAAAAACCCACTTAATTTTATTTAATGACCTGTGTGTTTGATATCTACTCAAAGGTTGTCATCTTTAGAAAGTACTTTTAATAGCCTTTCGGACATTCAAGAATCACCAAAATCAGTAGTTGTTGATCAAGTATTTAAATCTCTAAACACATTTTGGGACATGAGGATAACAGAAAAATAACATAATAATAAGACAACGGAATCAGTAAAAGGCACACAAAATGATAGCATCAATGTTAGAATGTTTAACTATCAATAGGGTGACCAGATTTGGGTTTCTGAAAAGGAGGACATTTTTTTTGGAGGGGGGTCCTGCTGGACCAGACCGGGCACTCGAACCATGCCATCAGCTCCAGGGCTGGTCCAGGAACCCCAGCGGATAGGGGTAGGGACCCAGTTGGGGACGGAGCAAACAAACCCGACCCAGTGACGGTATGCTTCCACCTGCCTGCCTTAATGTGTTTCCCCTCGCCTGC